GCGCATCCTTAGCCCCCCCATTGCCCCCCCCGTTGTCCCAGGGCGAGGAGCTCAGCGAGGCCAACGTGCGGCTCAGCCTGCTGGAGAAGAAGCTGGACAGCGCCTCCAAGGACGCCGATGACCGCGTGGAGAAGATCCAGACCAAGCTGGATGAGACCCAGACCCTGCTCAAGAAGAAAGAGAAGTGAGGGGGGGGGGGGCACGGGGAGGGGCCGTGGGGAGGAGCGGGCAGGAGGGCTTGGGGGGTCTGGGGATGTGGGAGGAGGATCCCCAGAGGAAGCGGCACGCTCAGCACCAGTGATCATGGTGCAGGGCAGAGCACGAGGGGCCTGGGAAAGCTCCTGTTCAGGCCCCCAGCTCTGGGGCAGCAGCACCAGAGGGACGTGGAGCTGCTGGAGAGAGGCCATGGGGATGCTGCGAGGGCTGGAGCAGCTCTGCTGTGAGCCAGGCTGAGAGAGCTGGGCTGGGGCAGCCTGGAGGAGAGGCGGCTCCTGAAGGGGAGACCTGAGAGCAGCTCCAGTGCCTGAAGGGGCTGCAGGAAAGCTGGAGAGGGGCTTGGGACAAGGGATGTAGGGACAGGCCAAGGGGAATGGCTTTAAGCTGCCCGAGGGGAGACTGAGCTGAGCTCTTAGGCAGAAGCTCTTCCCTGGGAGGGTGCTGAGGCGCTGGCACAGGGTGCCCAGAGAAGCTGTGGCTGCCCCATCCCTGGCAGTGTTCAAGTGGTCAAAGGCAGGAGCCCTTGGCAGGAGCATCCCCGGCCGTTCCCATGTCCCCGTGTGCTCTCCCCAGGGAGTTCGAGGAGACCATGGACGCTCTGCAGGCCGACATTGACCAGCTGGAGTCGGAGAAGGTGGAGCTGAAGCAGCGCTTGAACAACCAGTCCAAGAGGACCATCGAGGGCCTGCGCGGTGCCCCGGCCTCCGGCGTCGCCTCCATCGTGTCCGGCATTGCCGGAGGTGGGGTCCCAGCATCCCGGAGCACTTGGATGCTTCTGCAGCTCCTGGGGCAGGGGGGGGATTTGCAGCCTGGAATGGATCCAGGAGCCGGGCACGGCTTAGAGGGGATGGAGAGGGCAGGAGGGCCTCGGGCTGCAGGGCCTGGGAGCGTGGAGATCCCGCAGCGGTGTCCAAGCAGATCCAGATCCATCCCTGCATGGGCAGGGCAGTGGTGGCACCTCCACGGAGCCAGCCCAGGGCACACGGGGCCTCCGGTGCCTCTCTGGGTCCTCATTGCTGCATCCCTGCATGGGGATGCGCGGAAGGAGCAGCTCAGCAGGAGGTGGCCGCTGCGGGCTGCCCTGGGGCACCCATGGGTGCGTGTGTCTTGCCTGGGCTTGCCTGCAGCCCCGCACGGGCTGGGCCGTGAGGCCCGGTGCTGCCGCCGGGCTCAGGGACACGGTGGGGAGGAGCAGAGCTCCCTTGGCCTTGACTTGGCTTTGACTCCGGTTCTCCTTGTCCCCCGCTGCTCCCGTCCCTGCTGCAGAGGAGCCGCAGCGAGGTAGGGGCTGCTCCACGGGTGCTCCCGCATGCTCCCAGCCCCGTGCATGCCGGGGGGGGGAACTGCATCCCGGGTCACCCAGCGTGGGGCTGGGATGAGCAGGGGATGGCTCCGGCGCCTGCTCAGAGCATTCCCAAACAGCTCCAGGAGCCCTGGCAGTGATGGGGCCCAGAGCCTGGCGCAGCCCCAGCTCTTCCCATGGGGCACACGTGGGCAGAGGTTGTCCCTTTGCCCAGCACCACCGTAGACATCCCAGCACGACCACAGCATGCTCAGAACCACCACAGCCATCCCAGCACCACCGCAGCATCCTGACCCATCGTGGCATCCATGGTGGTGGTGGCTGACGCTGGTGCTGCTGTGTCCATCCGTAGGTGCCGGTGCCGGGCAGGTGCCAGGAGGTGGCTCAGGACCTGTCCAGGTGAAGGATTCGCCCCTTCTCCTCCAGCAAATCGATGCTCTGCAGCTTTCCATCAAGCACCTCAAGAACGAGAACAACCAGCTCAAGGTGAGGAGAGCCTGGTCCTGGGGCCGGCCCTGGGCTCCAGCTGCAGCGGGTCCAGGAGGCTGGGGAGGAACGTCCTGTGGGCTGCAGTGTGCAGGGGATGTGGTCCGTGAGAGATGCACTGTGCATGGGATGCAGTGTGTAGGGGATGTGGTCTGTGTAGGATGCAGTCCATGCGGGATGCAGTGTGCAGGGGATGTGGTCCATGAGGGATGCAGTGTGTATGGGATGCAGCGTGCATGGGATATGGTCCATGAGGAATGCACTGTGCATGGGATGCAGTGTGTATGGGGTGTGGTCCATGTAGGATGCAGTCCATGCGGGATGCATTGTGCATGGGATGTGGTCCATGAGGGATGCAGTGTGCATGGGATATAGTCCATGAGGGATGCAATGTGGATGGGATGTGGTCCATGTGGGATGCAGTCCATGTGGGATGTAGTGTGCATGGGATGCAGCGTGTTTAAGATGCCAGGTTCCTCCCGTTACCGCCTGCCCTAACGCCGTTCCTCCTCGGCTGGCAGGGCATGCGGATGCGGATGGAGCTGGCCAGCCTGCCGCCGCTGCAGGTGCCCAAGGTGTCTGTGGCCAGGAGCAAGCAGGGGGAGGGCCTGGCCACGCAGCAGCTCTACCGCCAGAGCAGCCAGCTCCTGGAGACCCTCTACCAGATGAGCGCCAACGCCAAGGTGGTGGACGTGAAGCAGGCCAAGTCCGGTAGGTCCGGGGCTGCGCGGTCGGAACCGGCTGAGCTTTGGGGCCCTTCCAACCCAAACCATTCCCTGATCCCGGGGTGCTCCCCGCTGACCTGGCTCCCCCCTGCGGCACCGAGATCCCGGTGTCCCCATGAGGCACCCGTCCCCGGGGCTCTGGGCACCAGGTTACACGTGGGGGGCTGAAGCTGCTCCCTGGGGCCACTGTGGCTCAGGCTCAGCCCTGCCGGGAGGCCCCAAAGCCCTCCCCTGGTGCCAGGCACCGGTGCCGGTGCCGGTGCGTGGCTGGACCGGAGCTCCGGGCAGGAGGCAGCTCCCTCCCCTCGGGGCTGCCCCGGCCCCGCTCACACCCGGTCCCGCAGCGCGGAGCTCGGCGGCGCGGCTGCTGGAGCACACGGCCCGGCTCTGCGCCCTCAGCAACGCCATCGACAGCCTCAAGGTGAGGAGGGGCGGGGGGGCGCAGGATGGGGCTCTGTGGGGTGCATGGGGGCTCTGGGGGTCAGGTGAGGTGCTTTATGGGTGAGCTGAGGGACTCATGCGTCGGGTGAGGGTCTTTGTGGGTCAGATGTTGGTATCCATGGGTTAGATGAGGGTCTCTGGGGGTTGGGTGAGGGTCTCTATGGGTCAGGTGAGGATCTCTATGGGTCAGGTGGGGGTCCCTATGGGTCAGGTGAGGGTCCCTATGGGGCAGGTGAAGGTCCCTATGGGTCGGGTGAGGGTCCCTATGGGTCAGATGGGGGTCCCTATGGGTCAGGTGAGGGTCCCTATGGGGCAGGTGAAGGTCCCTATGGGTCAGATGGGGGTCCCTATGGGGCAGGTGAAGGTCCCTATGGGGCAGATGGGGGTCCCTATGGGTCAGGTGAGGGTCCCTATGGGGCAGGTGAAGGTCCCTATGGGGCAGATGGGGGTCCCTATGGGTCAGGTGAGGGTCCCTATGGGTCGGGTGAGGGTCCCTATGGGTCAGGTGAGGGTCCCTATGGGTCAGATGGGGGTCCCTATGGGTCGGGTGAGGGTCCCTATGGGTCAGATGGGGGTCCCTATGGGTCAGGTGAGGGTCCCTATGGGGCAGGTGAAGGTCCCTATGGGTCAGATGGAGGTCCCTATGGGGCAGGTGAAGGTCCCTATGGGTCGGGTGAGGGTCCCTATGGGTCAGGTGAGGGTCCCTATGGGTCAGGTGAGGGTCCCTATGGGGCAGGTGAAGGTCCCTATGGGTCAGATGGGGGTCCCTATGGGTCAGGTGAGGGTCCCTATGGGTCAGGTGAGGGTCCCTATGGGGCAGGTGAAGGTCCCTATGGGTCAGATGGGGGTCCCTATGGGGCAGGTGAAGGTCCCTATGGGTCGGGTGAGGGTCCCTATGGGGCAGATGGGGGTCCCTATGGGTCAGGTGAGGGTCCCTATGGGGCAGGCATCCCGTGTGCAGCGCAGGAGCCGGGGGGGGGCAGCCCGGTGCTGACGCTGCCGTGCCGCAGGCTGACACCCTGCGGGAGGTGGTGCAGCAGCAGCCGGGGGCCAGCGCCCAGAGCAGCTTCGGCCTCTTCCCGACCCCGGCCTTCCTCAAGGTGAGCTCCAGCCCCCGGCCCCACACGGGGGTGGAAGGGGGGGTCCGGGGTACAGGGGGGCAGGTGAGGCCCCCCCGGCCCCCCAGCGCTGCTCTGCCCCGCAGGCCAAGCAGGAGCAGGAGCAGGGCCTCGCCTACTACGGCAAAGTGACCTTCCCGGGCCCGGCGGGGCAGGGCCGCGCGCACCGCCTGCTGCTCACCCCGGAGCTGCTGCGGGAGCTGCGCAGCCACCTCGGCTCCTGAACCGGGACCGGGACCGGAACCCCCGCTCCCTGCGGACACTGCGGACACCCCCCCCCCCCCCCCCGCTTTGCACCGGAGCCCCCGGACACCCCCCCCCCAGCCCCGGTCTCCAATAAAGCTGCCCTGGACCTGCCGCGGCCTCCGGGAACGGGGGGGGGGGGAACACCGGGGAAGGGACAACGGGAGCGGGGGGACACCGGAACGGGGGCACCGGGTACCGCCACGTGCGTCCGGGGGGGCGGGGTGACCGGAGCGCGGGAGCCGCGCGGGCGGCGCCCATTGGCCGCGGGGTAGGAAGAGGCGGGAGGGAGCGGCGCTTCGCGGGCGTGATTGGTGGAGAAGGCAAAGGGAGGCGGGGTCGGCCCCGCGTGTGTTTGATTGGCTGGGAGGTGGTGTCGGCGGGGATAGCCCGCAATGATTGGCTGGTGGAGGGCGGAGGGGCGGGCGCCGATTGGGTGAGGCGGGGTTCCGGTGGTGGAGGCCGCCACTTCCGGCCGGCGGCAGCGGAGGCAGGATGGTGAGCGGCGGCGGGCGGGGGCGCGGATCCGCCCGCATCGGGCCGGGACCGGGCCCGGGGGGAGCGGGGCTGGGCCGGGGGGGGCGCGGAGGCTGCCGGTGATCGGGGCCGGTCCCGTGCAGGTGCTGCTGCACGTCCTGTTCGAGCACGCGGCCGGGTACGCGCTGTTCGCCGTGAGGGAGGTGGAGGAGATCAGCATCCTCCTGCCGCAGGTACCGGGCTGGGCCCGCGCCGGGGAGCGGGGATGGGGCCGGGGCCTGGAGCGGGGATCCGGTACTGGGGAGCGGGGCTGGGGCCTGGTCCTGTACCGGGGAGCGAGGATCCGGTACCGGGGAGCAGGGCTGGGGCCTGGTCCTGCACCGGGGAGCGGGGATCCGGGAACGGGGAACGGGGCTGGGGCTTGATCCTGTACCGGGGAACGGGGATGAGCCCGTCCCGGGGGACTCAGCCCGAGGGGGGCCGGGGTTGCGGGGATGGAATCCCGGGGGTCGCGTCCCGGTGCCCGGGGGTGCCGCTGTTCCCGCGGGGCTCTGACCGGGCCCTGGCCGGGCCGCGCAGGTGGAGGAGAGCACGCAGAGCGTGGGCAAGTTCCACAACGTGGTCAAGCTCGTCGCCTTCTCCCCGTTCAAGTCCGCGCAGAGCGCGCTGGAGAACATGAACGCGGTGTCCGAGGGTGAGCACCGGGGAGGGGGGGCCCCTCCCGCAGCACACCAGGGGGAGCCGGGCCCCGCTCACCCCCCCCCGTCCCCCCCAGGGCTGCTCCACGAGGACCTGCGCCTGCTGCTGGAGACCTCGATGCCGGCCAAGAAGAAGAAGGCGCTGCTGGGGGTGGCGGACGCCAAGCTCGGGGCCGCCATCCTGGAGGAGCTGGGCTACCAGTGCCAGACCGGCGGCGTGGTGGCCGAGCTGCTGCGCGGTGCGTGGGGCCGGGGGGTAACGACCGGGGGCCGGGGGAGGCGACGGGGCCGTCAGTTACCCCCCCATCCCCATCTCCACAGGGATCCGGCTGCACTTCCACGCGCTGGTGAAGGGGCTCACGGCCCAGTCGGCCTCCAAGGCGCAGCTGGGGCTGGGGCACAGCTACTCCCGCGCCAAGGTGAAGTTCAACGTGAACCGCGTGGACAACATGATCATCCAGTCCATCAGCCTGCTGGACCAGCTCGACAAGGACATCAACACCTTCTCCATGCGCGTGCGGTGAGCCCGGCCCCTGGGGTGGGTGCTGTGGGTGCCTCTCCCCATGCTTACCACAGGTCGCTGCCCCTCCGGCTGCCTGTACAGGACGGGGAGGGAGAGCATTGACCCTGAGGCAGCCGGTTGTGGCTGCGGTGCTGCAGCTGGAGCCTGCCTGGGGGGGGACACGGGGGGCACAGGGCTGGGTGCTGGCACTGACACTGTCCCCATCACTGTCCTGTCCCTGTATCCATAACTGTCCCCATCACCATCCTGACCCTGCATCTATAACTGTCCCCATAACCATCCTGTCTCTGTATCCCTAACTGTCCCCATCCCCATCCTGTCCCTGTATCCATAACTGTCCCCATTGCTGTCCTGTATCCATAACCATCCCCATCCTGTCCCTGTATCCATAACTGTCCCCATCACCGTCCTGACCCTGTATCCATAACTGTCCACATCACCATCCTGTTCCTGTATCCATAACTGTCCCCATTGCTGTCCTGTATCCATAACCATCCCCATCCTGTCCCTGTACCCATAACTGTTCCCATCCTCATCCTGTCCCTGTATCCATAACCATCCCTGTCCTGTCCCTGTATCCATAACTGTCCCCATCACCATCCTGTCCCTGCATCTATAACTGTCCCCGTAACCACCCTGTCCCTGTATCCATAACTGTCCCTATTGCTGTCCTGTATCCATAACCATCCCCATCCTGTCCCTGTATCCATAACTGTCCCCATCACCGTCCTGTCCCTGTATCCATAACTGTCCCCATTGCTGTCCTGTATCCATAACCATCCCCATCCTGTCCCTGTATCCATAACTGTTCCCATTACCGTCCTGTCCCTGTATCCATAACTGTCCCCGTCCTGTCCCTGTATCCATAACTGTCCACATCACCATCCTGTTCCTGTATCCATAACTGTCACCATTGCTGTCCTGTATCCGTAACCATCCCCATCCTGTCCCTGTATCCATAACTGTTCCCATTACCGTCCTGTCCCTGTATCCATAACTGTCCACATCACCATCCTGTTCCTGTATCCATAACTGTCCCCATTGTTGTCCTGTATCCATAACCATCCCCATCCTGTCCCTGTACCCATAACTGTTCCCATCCTTATCCTGTCCCTGTATCCATAACCATCCCTGTATCCATAACTGTCCCCATCCTGTCCCTGTATCCATAACTGTCCCCATCCTGTCCCTGTATCCATAACTGTCCCCATCCTGTCCCTGTACCCATAACTGCCCCCATCCTGTCCCTGTATCCATAACTGTCCCCATCCTGTCCCTGTATCCATAACCATCCCCATCCTGTGCCTGTATCCATAACCATCCCCATCCTGTCCCTGTATCCATAACCATCCGTGTCCTGTCTCTGTATCCATAACTGTCCCCATCCTGTCCCTGTATCCATAACTGTCCCCATCCTGTCCCTGTATCCATAACCGTCACCATCCTGTCCCTGTATCCATAACTGTCCCCATCCTGTCCCTGTATCCATAACCGTCACCATCCTGTCCCTGTATCCATAACTGTCCCCATCCTGTCCCTGTATCCATAACCGTCACCATCCTGTCTCTGTATCCATAACCATCCCCATCCTGTCCCTGTATCCATAACCGTCACCATCCTGTCCCTGTATCCATAACTGTCCCCATCCTGTCCCTGTATCCATAACCATCCCCATCCTGTCCCTGTATCCATAACTGTCCCCATCCTGTCCCTGTATCCATAACCGTCACCATCCTGTCCCTGTATCCATAACCGTCACCATCCTGTCCCTGTATCCATAACTGTCCCCATCCTGTCCCTGTACCCATAACCGCCCCCATCCTGTGCCTGTGTCCGTAACCGTCCCTGTCACCGTCCCTGCAGTGAGTGGTACGGGTACCACTTCCCGGAGCTCATCAAGATCGTTCCCGAGAACTCCCTGTACTGCCGGGTGGCCAAGTTCATCGGGAACCGGCGGGAGCTGAGCGAGGAGAGCCTGGAGGGGCTGGAGGAGATCGTCATGGACGGCGCCAAGGCCCAGGCCATCCTGGACGCCTCGCGCTCCTCCATGGGTGAGCACGGGGGTGATGGCTCCGCTTCGTTGGGAGAGCTCCGGTGCCCCCGTTGGCCCCGCTGACCCCCCCCTCCCCGTGTCCCCCCCGCAGGGATGGACATCTCCCCCCTGGACCTCATCAACATCGAGAGCTTCTCCCGCCGCGTCGTCTCGCTGTCCGAGTACCGCCGGGGGCTGCAGGAGTACCTGCGCTCCAAGATGAGCCAGGTGGCTCCCAGCCTCTCGGCGCTCATCGGGGAGGTGGTGAGCGTTACCCCCCCCACGCGTGCCCCCCTGGGACCGGGGCCTCGGACGTGATGTCTGAGTGCATCTGTCAATCCCCTGAGCTGAGCTGCTGACACCTGAGCCGCTGATCCGGGCCCGGGGCTGCGTCCGTCCCGCTCCGGGCTCCGAGGCGCCGCAGCCCCAGCCCCGTCCTCGCTCTCCCCGCCGCAGGTGGGCGCCCGCCTCATCTCGCACGCCGGCAGCCTCACGAACCTGGCCAAGTACCCGGCCTCCACCGTGCAGATCCTGGGCGCCGAGAAGGCGCTGTTCAGGTACCGCTGCGGGCGGTCGCGGTGATGGCGCCGCCGGGCACCGGCTGTGACGGGGCCCGCTCCCGGCTGAGCAACCGGTGCCGGTGTCTGAGCGACCCCCGGGGGTGATGGGGGCCGCGTCCATCCGTGTGTGTGTGTGTGTGTGTGTCCCGGTGGCGGTGGGGCTGCCCCGACGGCTGCGCCGGTTGCAGGGCACTGAAGACTCGCGGGAACACCCCCAAGTACGGGCTCATTTTCCACTCGACGTTCATCGGGCGCGCGGCCGCCAAGAACAAGGGCCGCATCTCGCGGTACCTGGCCAACAAGTGCACGCTGGCCTCGCGCATCGACTGCTTCTCAGGTGGGGGCCGCCGCCGCCTCCGCCGTGATGGCAGCGTTTTTCGTCAGCAGCATCCCACCGCCGTGGATGGTGACAGCTCTGGGGCTGAGCGGAGCGCGGCGGCGCTGAGCCCCCCTCTCCGTGTCCCCACAGAGGTCCCCACCAGCGTGTTCGGGGACAAGCTCCGGGAGCAGGTCGAGGAGCGCTTGGCCTTCTACGAGACCGGGGAGCCCCCCCGCAAGAACCTGGACGTGATGAAGGAGGCCGTGGTGGAGGTGAGCGGGGGGGGAGGCTGCGGTGGGGCCCCCGCTGCTGGGCGTGATGTGAAGCCTTGGCCTGACCGCCCGTGGAGGGAAAAGACTGATTTAATGAGGCTGATCCGGCAGTGGGGCCGGGCTCGGCGCTGGGGGCTCGGGGCTGGGCTGGGGCTGACCCCCCCTTCCCCAGGCAGGTGAGGTGGTGGCCGAGGTGAAGAGGAAGCAGGAGAAGAGGGAGAAGAAGAAGAAGAAGCGGGAGAAGCGGCGCTTGGAGGCGCTGGCGGCGGCGGCACGGGAGGAGCTGGAGGAGAACTCGGTGCCGGAGCCCGAGGTGCGGGCAGGGGGGCACGGGATGGGGATGGGGATGGGGATGGGGATGGACACAGCTCCGGCTCCTCCTGACCCCATGGCTCCTGCAGGAGAACTCCACGGAGCCCAAGAAGAAGAGGAAGAAGAAGCAGGAGGAGGCAGAATCAGAGCCGGAGCAGAACGGGCTGGAGGAGGAGGAGGAGGCCGAGGCTGTGCCCAAGAAGAAGAGGAAAGTGACAGCCGAGACTGAGCCTGAGGAGGAGGAGAAGAGGAAGAGGAAGAAGAAGAAGAAGGGGGCGCGGGACGAGGAGGACTGAGGCCGCTGGGCCCAGGGCTTGGTTGGACTCTTGGAGACTGGCTGGAGGTCGGTGTGGGGCAGCTGGGGCTGCCGTTACCGTGTCCTGGCCCCACGTGTGCTCTGGGGCCGCACGTGGCATGGACCCCTCCGGGCCCTGTTGTGGGGCGGGCCCGGGCTGTGTGTGGGGCCCGGCCCTGTCCCCACTGCGGGCTGGGGGGCAGGAGCTCCTCAGTAAAGCGCGGCCGTGGTTGGTGATGCTCTGTGGTGGTGTCGTGGGGCTGGGGGGGGGGTGACGGTGCTGGCCCCACAGAGCCCCAGCGTCCCCGGGCAAGGACGGGGCCACCCCTGGTGCTGCAGAGCCCACGTTTATTGGAGGGAAGCCATAAATAACAGAGGACGTGGGCACGGGAGGATGAGGATGAGGAGGGGGGGCAGCCCCTACGCTTCCAGGGCCCCGATCACGGCTTGGGTGAAATCGTGGGACGTGGCGTAGCCCCCCATGTCCGCTGTGCGCACCTGCAAGGAGAGGGCAGCGTTAGGGGGCTGCGGGCAGGGAGCTGAAGGGGCACCCGGCCCCATGGCAGCTGCTTCGGGGGCTCCAGCTGGGGCTGAGTGCTGGCGCTGGGGCCTCAGCCCCTGCTCCAGAGGGGGCTGTTGTGGATGGGGGGGCTCTTCCCTGCTCTCACAGCCCCAGCAGGCTCAAGGGCCCGGTGAGGGGCTGGCAGCTGTGCTGAACCCCCTGTGCCTGCTGCCAGCCCCACTTCTGCCCCCCAACCATGCCCGGCCTCGGGGAGCAGCAGCCACAGGCAGAGCTGCGGGAAGCTTTGGACCCTTTATTTGCAGACAGGAGCGCACAGCGCAGCAGCAAGCGCACGGCCCGGATGCTCTTGCACACACAAACATGTTACACACATGTATACACATGTACATACATGTACACACACGTGCAGGGCTGAGCCACCATGGTCCCGTTGCCCCATGTGGGGCAAGCTCCGGCTCCTGCCCCTTGGCTCCACAGTGGAATCTCTGCAGCTCATGGGGCTGCTTCCAGGCTAACCCCAGAGCGGGCTGGGGGGGGGACAGGGCAGCCCCTTCCCCCCGGCTCCCATGGGAATGTGCTGGAAGGGGGGGACCTCGCTCTGTGCCCCCTGGTCCCAGTTCGTGCTGAAGCTGCTGCTGGGGGAGGCGCCCACAGCAACCGCGGCCCTTGGGTGGTCCCTGCGACCTTGGGGGGTCCCTTTGAGTGTGGGGGGGGTCCCTGGGGTGCTGCCCCTCACCCCAGCAGCCCCACAGTACAAGGAAGCTGCCACCACCGCCCCCCTCCTGCTGGGGGGGGCACAGGAGCTGTGCGGGATGTGCTGCGGGGCGCAGGACATGGACAGGGATGTGCTGTGCGCTGTGGGGTGCTGCTGTGGGTCCCGGGGGGGGGCAATGGGGGGCAGTGGGGCGCTCCTATGCACCATAGTGGGGGTGCAGGCTGTCAATCACAGACTTGACGAAGTCGGAAGTTGTGGAGTAACCGCCCAGGTCCCGCGTCCGAACCTGGAATCCAACAGGAAGGGGAGAGACGGGGAATGGGACGGTGAATGGGGGAATGGGACGGTGAATGGGGGGAATGGCGGGGGAGAGGGGAGGAGCAGCTGCCTCTGAGCACCTGGCCCTGCCTGCGCCAGAGCCAAGCCACAGGGACATGGACAGGGGGACGTGGGTATGGACACAAGGACACGGACACAGGGACGTGGATACAGACACAGGGATATGGACACGGGCACAAGGACATGGACACGGGGATGTGGATATGGACACAGTGACATGGACATGGACACAGGCACACGGATATGGACACAAGGACACGGTGGCATGGACACAGATATGGACACAAGGACATGGTGACATGGACAAGGACACGGGCACACGGATATGCACACATGGACACGGTGACATGGACACGGTGACATGGACAAGGACACGGGCACACGGATATGCACACATGGACACGGTGACATGGACACGGTGACATGGACAAAGACACGGGCACACGGATATGCACATATGGACACGGTGACATGGACACGGACACGGGCACACGGATATGCACACAAGGACACGGTGACATGGACACGGACACAAGGACATGGTGACATGGACACAGGCACACGGATGGCTGAGCTGGAGCGATTCCAGCCTCGCTCCGTGGCCGCTCGCCCACCGAGCCCAGCACTCACTTTGCCGCCTTTGATCACCTTCTTCACCGCGTCCGAGATGAGGTTGGAGTGGAATTCCAGGCTGGGGAGAGGGGGAGAACCGGGGTGAGCCCCGCTGCTGCCCCACTGCTGCCCCGCTGCCCCCCACTGCTGCCTCGCTGCTGCCCCACTGCTGCCCCACTGCTGCCTCGCTGCTTCCCCACTGCTGCCCCACTGCTGCCCCACTGCTCCCCCCGCCGCCCCCGTACGCACTTGAGGTGCCGCAGCATGTTGGTGGCCGACAGCAGCATCGCCGTGGGGTTGGCGATGTTCCTGCCCACGGCCTGGGCGAACGGGTGCCGGGCGCCCTGCGGATGGAGGCCACGGTGAGGGACCCCTCCTGACCCCCCCCCCATCCTCGCGCCCCCGGTGCCGCGGCCTCACCATCTCGAACACGGCGTACTCGGCGCTGTAGCTCTCGCCGGGCACGACGCCGGCGCCGCCCACCAGCCCCGCAGCCAGGTTGTCCACGATGTTGCCGTAGAGGTTGGGCATGACCAGGACGTCGAACTGGTACGGGTTCTGCACCAGCTGTGGGGGCAACGGCGCCATGGGGGGAGCCCTCGGGGCGCGATGGGCACGGGCCCGGGCCCAGGATCCTGCTCCCATCCCTGCGGCGCCGGAGCAGCAGAACCCAAACCCCCTCCCAGGCCACGGCCAAGTGACAACTGCAGCACAGGGAGCCCGAGTGCAGCAGCTCCGGAGCCGGGTGTGCGAGTGCAGCGGACACAGAGCGGCCCCTGCCCCTCACCTGCATGCAGCAGTTGTCGATGATGATGGTGTCGAACTTGATCTTGGGGTAGAGCTCGGCCACCTCCTTGCAGCACTGCAGGAAGAGGCCATCGCCCAGCTTCCTGCCGGGGGACAGCGGAGGGGCTGCAGCACCCGCATCCCACCGCAGTGGGGCAGCAGCCCCGGGGATCGGTTTTCCACGCTGGAACGGCGGCTGCCGGGATCAGTCAGGGGTAAGGCCGTGGGAGCCACGGGAGCACTCACATGATGTTGGCCTTGTGCACGGCCGTCACCTTGGAGCGCCCTTTCTTGGTGGCGTAGTCGAAGGCGAACTTGGCGATGCGCTGGGACTTGGCGCGGGTGATGATCTTCAGGCACTCGATGACGCCCCGCACGCTCTGCAGGGGAGGGCACGGGGAGCACGGAGCCTCCTCCGCGGGCCCCCCTCCTGTGCCCCCCCCTCCCTGCACTCAGCCCCGCTGGGTCACGGTATCCACACCCCCAAGTGCTCCCCTAACCCCTCATTGCCCCGGTGCAGCGCTGCCGCCCTGCCCTGCCCTGCCCCACAGCTCTGGTGGGGGTCCCAGCAGAGAGGGAAGTCACCCAGAGCCATGGAACGGGTTGGGCTGAAGGGACCTTAAAGCTCCTCCAGCCCCAGCCCCTGCCACGGGCAGGGACCCCTTCCACTGGAGCAGCTTGCTCCAAGCCCCTGTGTCCAACCTGGCCTTGAGCACTGCCAGGGATGGGGCAGCCACAGCTGCTCTGGTGCCACCCCCGTCACAGGCAGGGCCCTGTGCCCCCCCGCAGGGCAGTGCCCCCCCCGCTGGGGCTCCTGTACCTCGTGCTCCAGGGCACTGTACTCGCCCTCCGTCTGCTCCCGGATGATGACCAGGTCCAGGTTGTTGTGGCGCGTCTGGTACCCGGGCAGGCTCTTCACGTGCACGACGTTGGCAAAGAGGTCCAGCTTGCGCCTGGGGGGGGGGCACAGCTCCCCTGGGTAACCCCTTCCAGCGTCCCAGCACCCTCAGGGGGAAGAACTTCCTCATATCCCATTCAACCCCTCCCTCGGACAGTTGCAAGCCCAAACTCCTCATCCCATCCCTACAGCCCTTGCCCAAAGCCCCTCTCCTGGTTAATTTAGGCAGTAGGAGGCTGGATTGATCCATCCATCATCCATCCATCCATCATCCATCCACCCATCCATCCATCCATCCATCATCCATCCATCCATCATCCATCCATCCATCATCCATCCATCCATCATCCATCCATCCACCCATCCATTCCTCCATCCATCATCCATCATCCATCCATCATCCATCTATCATCCATCCATCATCCATCCATCATCCATCCATCCATTATCCATCCATCATCCATCCATCATCCATCCATCCCTCCATCCATCAGCCATCCATCCATCATCCATCCATCCATCATCCATCCATCCATCCATCCATCATCCATCCATCCATCATCCATCCATCATCCATCCATCCACCCATCCATCATCCATCCATCCATCCATCCATCATCCATCCATCCACCCATCCATCCATCCATCATCCATCCATCCATCCATCATCCATCCATCCATCATCCATCCATCCATCATCCATCCATCCATCATCCATCCATCATCCATCCATCATCCATCCATCATCCATCCATCCATCTATCCATCATCCATCAATCCATCATCCATCCATCCATCCATCATCCATCCATCCATCATCCATCCATCATCCATCCATCCATCATCCATCCATCCATCATCCATCCATCCATCCATCATCCATCCATCCATCATCCATCCATCATCCATCCATCCATCCATCCATCCATCATCCATCCATCCATCATCCATCCATCCATCATCCATCCATCCATCCATCATCCATCCATCCATCATCCATCCATCATCCATCCATCCATCATCCATCCATCCATCCATCATCCATCCATCATCCATCCATCCATCATCCATCCATCATCCATCCATCATCCATCCATCATCCATCCATCCATCATCCATCCATCCATCATCCATCCATCCATCC